CATGGGCTGGTTTTCAGTGTCACAGAAGAACAACACATGAAACCATTGTCATAGACTACACCTTGATTTTATACAAGCATTCTTCAGAGGATGTGTTTTTCACTTTCCTAATCTCATTCAAAAGCTCTCAAGTTGGAGTTATTTCTTTAAAAAAAAAAAAAACTTTCAGGCTGAAAAAGAAATTCCTATCGAAATTTAAACATTTCACAAATAAGATTGCATTCTTAAATGTCTGTGTTTTATTCCCTGCAAGTTATATTATCTATCTTTTTAAGAAGTTTCAAATAGGATATAGAAAAGATGAGTACAATTCATGCAACATGCTCATTAAGTACAAATGTTTGATGTCCTTTCAAGTACTATTACTCTTAACAATCATTTTGTCTTTTTAGCTAAAGCTCACCACTTCTTCCAATAGCCTTTATATTGCCACAATATCACAAAAAAATGTGGGGGAGACTGGTAGAAAATTTTTAGTGGGACCAGTAAATTTGTTCATCCAGGCACTATAAGGTAAACACTTTGGAGCAGGATGATTGGAAATGTGGTCAGATTCTTAACAGGGTTCCAGAAAAGAGCAAATTTTCATTGTAACATCAGTCCTATATAGTAGAAAATTTTGCTAAAAAACCCAAAGGGAGATTTATGTAGACTCTGACTTGAGTTTCAGTCTCTATTATGAATTGTTATTAGACTTCCTCATACCCTTCTTTGCTTTTACTTAATCAGAGAAACACAGGTGCATGTCTAGTTTTGGGAACACAGTTGTTTTCCACAGAAAAATGTGAGGGAAAGAAACTTTCCCCCCATACGTCCTTAAAATCATGGATGGCTGTGGTAAAGTAATACAGAGATGGATACTATTAGCAAATGCCGGTTTCTTCTATGTGTGTTTTTGTTTGCTTTCACAGGGTGTTTTGCCCATCCACATTCCAATCCCTATAATGATACTTCTATTTATTGTTGTTATCACCATCAACAGCAACTATAATCTGGCTCACAATTCCCAAGTCAGTTCACTCCTTAGCTACCAGGAGAAAACTCAAACCAGTTGTTCTTTTATGTGTACAAAACCCCGGTCTTCTCACATTGCAGTGACCCCGATAACATTTTTAGACTTTCACAGACAGAAGAGATAATAGAGCTAATGTCTGCATTCTGATGCAGTTTAAAAAACTGCTTTTTCTCCCTTGTGATTGAAAGATTAACTGTGTAAATGAGTGATTACCAGGTATGTGTGTGTTATAATAGCAATTCGTAAATATTTCTCATTTCTTCTTCAGTTCCTCTTACGATGTCTTTCTTGTCTGGAGAGTTTGGGGTGGGAGGCTGAGGGGGAGGGAAGATAAGTTCTCTCACCCATCATTTGGCAATAAAAGTTTACAGAGGTCTCAGGTAACTTACCAGTAACCATTGTAGCCAGACATAGAATTGACACTAGAAACCATTTACCTGCTTCATAACTAGGGGAGGAACATATGGAGGGATTCTTAAAACAGTCTTTTCAACTCATTTACAAAAATGAACAGGAAAAATGGTTAGGAAATCACACAGATTGAAAGGACATGGGTGAAATAGATTTTTTTTTTTTAATGCAGTTACGGGACTTTTTAAAATAAATGCAGTTTTATTATGATGTGGTTATGTGCATAGACTTAACCTGAGTTAAAATCCAAGCTTTGCCACTTATTAACAATGTGGCTTTAGGCTGCTTATCTCCTCTATTTTTCCTTATACTTAGATATAAAATAAGGATATTTATAATGCCTAACCCATAAACCAAGAAACCTGTGAGCTTAATTTTAAAACTCAGTGCAATTACATTTAAAGCACTTAGCACAGGACCTAGAACGTGGAATACCAGGCACATTCTTGACTGGAGGTCTTTGTACTTGTATTCTCTGCCTGCAAGCTCTCTTTCCAGACATCCACATGACTAACTCTGACCTTTACATCTTCACTCAAATGTGATCTTCTCAGATGCAAGATGCCCCGTCTGCCCTCTCTAGGTGTGTGTATATGTGTGTGTGTGTTTAATTGGATGTTTTACTATGTGTGGGTGCCAGGTCGCTTCAGTCATGTCTGACTCTGTGAACCTATGGACTGTAGGTTGCCAGGCTCCTCTGTCCATGGGATTCTCCAGGCAAGAATACTAGAGTGGATCTAGAATACTAGATCACCATGACCTCCTCCACGTGATCTTCCCAAGCCAGGGATGGAACTCACATCTCTTATGTCTCCTGCATTGGAAGGCAGGTTCTTTACCACTAGTGCCACCTGGGAAGCCCTGTTTTACTATAACAACACCTAATATACTATTTACTAGTTAACTTCTCCTTCCCATAAATACTTGAAGAAACTTGGGGATTTTTTGTTTACCGCTTCACCTCTGGTTTCCATAGAGTTCCTAACACAGAGAAAGTAATTGATAATATTTATTAAATGTATAACAAATGTACAGTAAATAGTTATATCTGCTTTATTGAATTGAACGTTTTTTATAATTATCAGCACCATTTGCTGATTAATGTAGAAAATGCTTGAGGAGTTTATAGTGTAAAAATTATACTCAGTTCATAGTATTAGTTTGCTTACCAAAACCTCTTTCTGTAGTAAATAACTAGACCAACTTATACCTAACTATATTCAAAGCATCATAAATTTAAAACTAATGGGTTACAATATGACAAATTTTATTTACATTAATACTTTTGAAATTAAGTAAGTAAAGTATAGAAAGTAAGCTGCTAGTAAGTTGAAAATCAAACGAGGGAAAAATAATAGCTTTAACATTTATCAAGAGCTTACTATAATCCACAAGAAACAATATAGTGTACTTAAGGCGCAGGCTCCAGAATTAGGCTGTGTGTATTCAGATTCTGCTTGTGCCCTTTGCTAGAGTGACCTTGTGCTAGGTAGTTCCCTAGTCATTCTGGGCCACAGTTTCCTCAGTTATATAAAGGAACTCATATGAATTCATATAAAGGTTGTAGAAAAATGCTTGTCTCATAGAACTTAAATACCAGATGCTAAGCACTTTAATGAATTAGTTTGTTTAATCCTCATGACAACCTATAAAGGAGGTACTATTCTTATGCTCTTTAGTAAATTTTTTGAAATTCAAATAACTACTTGTTAATACCTTATATTAAGTTCAGGGTCTGTGGAAGGTATTTTAAGACGTTTCATTTTCTTTCCTCCTCTATTTCCTTATAGCAAATGGGCTTTCTTCAAAGAGTTCCAGCAGTGGAGTTATTGTTTTCCCTTTTTGAACACTGAATTAGGCACATTAGCAGTATACTTTGAATTGAGTTTCTTAAGTTTCACGTTTATGGCAAAGTTGAATTCTAACTAAGAAGCTTGTTGAAACGTAAGCTTTGTGGTAGCAAATACTATACTCGCCTAGAGGCACTAGAATTCATGACAACTCCTAAGATCAAGAAAGTTACTTAATTAGACTATGATTTTCAGTTTGGACATTTTATATATGACTACATGATTCAGCCATGAATCAAATGTCCCAAGATGAGTTATTTGAAGAAAGTTCTGGGAGAGAAGAATGATAAATTACAGGGATGGAAAATTGATCTAATGAAGAAAAGTGAGTTATATAGATAGGTTGCTTGGACTGGGGAATAGAAGGATGATGTAATTATACTTTCAAGGAGGAGTGTTTATTTGGTTTATAGAATAAGGTATACTTCTGCTTTAAGTATAGTTCTTCAAAGATATGGAGAAAAACCCAAAGCAGAAGGTATAGACATATATGGGGCTTCCCAGATGGCACTAGTAGTAAAGAACCCACCTGCCAATACAGGAGATAAATGAGATGTTTGATCCCTGGGTCAGGAAGATTCCCTGGAGGAGGGCATGGCAACCCACTGCAGTATTCTTGCCTGGAGAATCCCATAGAAAGAGGAGCCTGGCGGGCTACAGTCCATAGGGTCACAAAGAATTGTATATGACTGAAGCCACTTAGCATAGCATAGACATATATAAATCCAGTTTTCAAAATTGTAAAACACTGAGAAGGACTTTGCAGAGAAGGTAATGATTCTCAGAAGAGAGTGAACAGATTATACTAGAGTAGGGCTTCCCAGGTGGCTCAGTGGTAAAGAATCCACCTGCCAGTGCAGGAGATGCATGTTCGATCCCTGGGTCAGGTAGATCCCCTGGAGAAGGAAATGGCAACCCACTCCAGTATTCTCACCTGGTAAGTCCCAGGACAAAGGAGCCTGGCAGACTACGGTACACGGGGTCACTGAAGAGTTGGACACAAGTTAGGGACTAAGCAGAAACAACTCAAATATCTATGCATAACAATCTCCTGGAATCAACTTTAAGTGCAGATTCCCAGGTCCCCTCAAGAGCTGATCCAGTGGACCTCCGGTCAGGCCTAAGAATTTGTATTGTTACCAGACACTTGAATGGGATTCTAATGTTGACAGCCCTTGAAACAAATGTTGAAAAGCTTCTTGAGTTTAATCAGTAGCCTATCATAGTCCAGGGAGATGACCAAGTAATCTCTTATGGTCTCTTCCAACTCTGATTTATATAGTTGTGTACATGTTTTTCTATAATCATTTCAAGTGAGCTCCAAACTGTCTTCAAGGCACCGGCTCTTAGAAAGCATGAGATGGGTTGTGTGGTTCAGTGCTCCTCATTTCAGTTACTGAAGTCACATATTAAACCACAGGAGGAATGTGAATTTTTACATAATATATAACCATCGATGTTTGAACAGTATCCAGCAGAGAGAGATTAAGTCATGGCTTGCACCTTTAAGATATGGTAAATCACCTTCAGGCAATAGTTAAGACCCTCTTGTCACATAGGATTAGAAAGGAACACATTACTAAGTATTTATATTTAAGATGTGTTGATACATACTCCTGATAAATGAACGTTAAATTTATGAAAGTTAGCCTCTGCTTGCTGTGTTCTTCAGGGATCCTCTTTAATTGTGTTTTTGTGGGTTTATTATTGTCTTTGTTTTCTAGGATGGAGCTATGACGTTGAGGAGAGAAAGGTTCCGAAACCTAAGTCCAAGTCTTATGGCGCAAACTTTTCTTGGAATAAAAGAACAAGAGTATCCACAAAATAGGTTGGCATGGACTGTATCTCTGTGCTTGACTGTGAATAAAGTCAGCTGTGCAGTATTTATAGTCTGTGTATAATACACCTCTTAATCTCCTAATAAATTTGACCTTTAAACTACAGAAACATTTTTGTGGTGTCTATTTTAAATGTTTTTTGATGTCCCAAATTAAACATGTTATAATTTCCTTTACAGGTGATCATACCTCTAGGAAATTTCAGCACTTAAAAAATCTATTAAAAGAAATGTTTGAAATCAGCTGCAACATTGAAGGTTTACACTTGTTTTTTATGGCCATCCTCAAGTTCATAGTGTTTATAAACTGCCAGCCATCATTATCAAAATACTGTCTTACAAGTTTTCCTGTTACCATAGGTAAAGAAATTCATGATTACATTGCAGTCTGATAAACCTAAGCCCAAATCTCCTTTTTATTGAAATTTGCTTCTTTATTTAGAACTATTTCTCTAAACTTCTTTGAACCTGAATGAATTGTGTTCCATACTAAACTTTGCCCACTAATCAGTACTTCATGCTTCTGATGGTTCAGGTAAAGATTTTATATTCTTGTGAATTAAAAAACTCAGAAAATACAAACCAATTCTTTGTTAGATATGTCTAGTGTTCACTGTTTTTAGAAAATGTATGTAAATACATGTTTTTGTTATGTGCTAATCATTTAGATCATACAGTATGAGTTACCAAGCACATACTCTTGTCAGGTACTCAGTAAACACTATATACTAACCTTCATAATAATTCCGTTTTCCCCATTTTGCAAACACATAAATTAAGGCTTAAAATGACTAGATAACATGCTCAAAATTACACAAGTAAATAGCATGTGAACCCATTTCTGTCTGTCTTCAAAGCACATACTATTAATTACTTTAGTTACAGAGAAATAGGTTTGATTAATGGCAGATAATTTCTTTGGATTGCTAATACATTCTTTGATGTGTCAAAAATTATATAGTAAATATACAGTTTCTTACAATCGCATTTCATAAAAACACTAATAGCACATTGACCTAGCCCAACAAAGAAAACATGTCAGAGTATAAATTTTTACGATATTGTTTTGGAGAGCCTATTGGAAGTCTCTTCTTCAAAATGTTAACTGCATATTCCAATTTAATTCTAAAAATTATCTTCCAGACAAATAGCCTGTGCATGTACACAGAAGTGAATGTACCAAGGATATTACAGAATTGTTTCTAATAGCTAGTAAGTGGAAATAATCTAAATGTCTATTAAAATGGAATAAAGTTAAATGGAGAGTTAATACAGCTATTGTAAAGAACAAGAAATAATCTGTATGAGCTGTTTGGAATGATATTCAAGATACAGTGCTAAGTGAAAGAAAAGAGTAGTAAATAATATCTGGGGTGAGGTGGGCAGCACATGCTGTTACATATGCACCTAGAATATTTTAGGAAAAATACATAAGAAACTGGTAACTTGATTTTACTGGTTACCACTGGTTGTGGGAGAAGGGAGTCATGGGTCTTTCACATTTAACTTTCAATATGCTTTTTAAATACACTAAGGATGTATTATATGTATAAGTATACATAATTATAAATATCTTTTATACTACAGTTTATATCATGCCATCTTAACCTTTACTTGAAAAATTATATATTTTAATTACTACCAATTTAGGATTTTAAATAAGAGGTAAACTCTACAAAATGATAAAATATAGCTGTTAAGTTCCACAGATATTTCAGTGAATATAAGGTTAAATTTCAGTTTTTAAAAAAACTACTTATATCCCATACAATAAGGCAATCCAAGCAAGTTTTCTTCAAAAAAATAATTTAGTATTCTACCTTAAGTTTGGTTTTTAACAAAATATAACACTTTTTATTTCTGTTGTTACTCTGGTAGAACTAACTTCAAGGGCCACCTTGTGCATCTGCTGAAAATTCAGTATACTTTTGTAATATCTGGTCCTTATTTACATAATAAGTCAATGCCCAACTCTTTCTGGGTTGTTTCCATCTTTCATCCTATAGGAGCTGCTGATACAGTGATTGTATGTTCATATTTCATATAAATTATAATTTATTTAAGAGTAGCATAAAGGAGTCCCCTTTTGTTTTGGGGGGTGTTAAGTATGACAGGTCCTAAAAGAAAGAAAAACTAGACAGCTCTCATTTTTATAGAATCTGTCTTATGCAATGCTAAGGGATCCTGTGATGTAAATTTTCTAAGTCAAAAAGCAGGTACTTTGCCAATAATCCTGAAATAGATGTTTTAGTGACTTTTAACATTCTTTATTAATATCTTGTTCTTTTACACTATTTTAATTTAAAAATGTTAGTGCTATCATTTTGGTTGCAGATACAAAGTTACTATCTTTATTGACTGATTCTGATCCAGCTTTAAGTTACCCAGTGACCTATAAACCATAATGATGAGACTGACAAGGTCCCCCTGCCCCTGTGCTGCAGACCTACAGAGGGGTTATATTCTGCTAGCAATCGCCAATTTAATATGAGTGAAGACTGACTTAGACAACTTGGACTTGGATTCTGGTTCAGCCATTTACTAGCTCGGTGATCTTTACAAAGTCAATTAAATTTCTGTTTCCTCATCTCCAGAATGGGGGTTATCGACTTAATGGGGTAGGTAAATATAGTCTGAGTGACTTTATTAAGCACTCACTCTGTCATGCACAGGGCACTGTTAGACTTGTGTGGGCATTCTGTCTCTTCTAGGAAGATATCCTAGGGCACCCCAGCCCTATGAAGTTGATGTTGCAGAACTAACTTTTTAGGACAATTAGGTGCTTGTAGTGTATATTACTTTGTATTTTTAATGATGTCTTTAAATTATTTCTTTAAAATATTTGTGCTTTGGTTATAAAAGTGTTGCAAAAATATTTGATATAGAAATCAAAAAATATTTGATATAGAAATCAAAGAATCATAAATTCCACCACTCTTAAGATAACCATAGTTATATACCTGGTGTGTGTGTTTCTGGTATTATTTTTGTTCATAACACATGTTGCTTTTATAAAACTAAAGTTCATTAAAAAAAAAAAAAACTGCACTGTTATCACACTTTCCACCGACTATATTGTGTTTTCCCATGACATTTTTTATAATATGTTGAAAACAAGTTTAAATTGTGTATTAATTTGATTTTCTGGCTTTTTGCTTTTATATTTAAAAACATAACTGTTACCTCCCCAGCCAGACTGCAAATGTCTAGAAGTGTAAGTTCTGAAATTTCTTTCTCAGTGTCTTCTTCGAAGCCTCACTCATGGAAAAGCTGGATAAACAATGGTTACTTTGATTGTTTAAATGATTCTGAATACAAACCAAACCTAATCTGTCCCAGTCTCCTCTGATTTTCAGTTGATATTTCTTTGAAACTGTTAGTGGATATTTACTGGAACTCTATTCAATAGCTGCTCAAGTGTTGACTTTATTTATACTCATCTAAGAATTATACTGACCACTCAAGAGTTAATTTTATTTTAAATGGATTTTTAAAATTTTAGGTCTCAAGATTTTTAATTATAAATCTTGTTTTATGTTAATGTTAAAACGATAGAAAAGTTAATTACGTTGAGTTTCATTGCAGTGGGTTTCTTTGGAAAACAAATATTAATCCTATATGGGTAATGAAGATTAAACCACGAAATTGGGAAAAATAGATTTTGAATTGTAATTTAATTGATTACCTATAGATATATAGACATGATTACACCTGTACTTTGGACTCTGGGAACCTAATAAGGAGCTTCAGTGTCTCTCCAGTTTAACAAGAATAAGTCCAGGAGATTTCATTACTTACTGCAGGAAACTCATGATGCTAATTTTTGTGATCAAAGCCTGCCAGCAATGGTATGTGATGATAATTATCATAATGTAACAGATTTTCTCCTAAAGATCAGTGACTATTTTTTAAGCTTTTTTTTTTTCTCTTCACTGGGATTTTCTGTAAATTTCTATTATAAGAAAAAAAATTTTTAAATACTCATATACCCTTCACTTAAGTTTACTAGTTAATATTTTGTCACATGCATTTTCCTTCCTCCCTGCAGTCTTCATTTAAAAGTAAGGTTCAGGCATCATATCTCTAAATACTTTAGAAAAAGACATTCTATATTCTACAACAGCATTGTCACAATTTTTAAAAATTCAGCTGTTAATAGTTTAACAATTGTCCATATTCAGACTTCACCAGATTGCCCCAATATTGTTCTTTACACTGATTTATTTCAATCCCATATCTAGTCAGTAATTGTATATTAAATTTAGTCTCCTTTTATTTTGCACAGTTTACCTGCTTTTTTGTTTCTTCTGTAGCATTTGGGTGTTTTTGAAGAATTCAGGCTGTACTTTAAAAACTGTTCCACAATTTGGGTTTCTCTCATTGTTTTCTCATGTTGAGATTTGAGTTAAATATTTCCTGTAATAATCCAAAGAATGCTAACACAATGGTGAAATTCTGTTGGGAAACAGATTTATGCAATCTCAAATGTGCCAACCCATACATTATGTACTAACAGAGACAAGAGTACTTATGATGGAGAAACTGGGCATGTACTACCTCAACCAAGTGTTCAAACTTAAAGTCACCAACTAATAGTAATTTTATGTTTTTCTCAAAGAATCAATCCTTGCAGCACATAAAATCACTGTCCAGTTATTGGTAATGTCAATGTGATCACTTGGTTAAAGTGGTACATGCCAGGGTTTCCATCATAGAGTACTTTTATCTCTTACTTAGTAATCTGTGGGTTGATACTTCAAGATTACATAAATCCTGTTTCCCAAGAAAATTTTACCAAATTGTGTAAGGATTTTTGGACTGTCCTTACCCAAATCAGGTACTATACCAGAGATTACAAATGGTAATTTTTTAGTTCTTTCAATTCTCCATTTACTGGATGACCCCCGCCAACTTATTATTACTGACTTATGGATTCTTTTTTATTTAGTATTCATTATTGTCCTTATGGGACTTCCCTGTAGCTCAGATGG